TAAATTTTTTCCTCAGTTCATTCAGCTTGAGAAATGCCAAGTGTGTTTGTTCCCTCTGGTTTTCTAACTCTGGGTCTTTGCACATTTCATTATAGTAACTGGCTTTGTCTGCTTGAGCTGCTCTTTGAAATCTTCTATTCAGCTTTTTTTCTTGTCATTTCTTCCATTTGCTTTAGCTACTCTTCCCTCAAGGGCAAGTTTCAGAGTCTCTTCTGACATCCATTTTGGTCTTTTCTTCCTTTCTTGTCTTTTTAATGACCTTGTGCTTTCTTCATGGATGATATTCTTGATATCATCTCACAATTCTAGTTTTCATTCATTGGTATTCAATGCATCAGTCTATTTTTTAGATGGTCTCTAAATTCAGGAGAGATATATTCAAAGTCATAGTTTGGTTCTCTTGGGCTTGTTTTAATTGTCTTCAACTTCAAGGTGAATTTGCATATAAGCAGTTGATGGTCTGTTCCACAATCAGCTCCTGACTTTGTTTTGGCTGAAGATATCAAGCTTTTCCATCATCTCTTGCCACAGATGCAGTCACTCTTCATTCCTATGTACTACATCTGCTGAACTCCACATGTATAGCCACTATTTATGTTGTTGGAAAAAGGTATTTGCAAATAATAAGTCCTTGGTCTTGCAAAATTCTATCATGCAATCTCCAGCATTATTTCTGTCTCCAAGGCCAAATTTTCCAACAACCTGTGTTTCTTCCTTTTTTTTTTCCAACTTTTGCATTTCAATCACCAGTGATAATCAACACATCTTGATTGCATGTTCAGTCAATTTCAGACTCCAGAAATTGATAAAAATCTTCAATTTCTTCATATTTGGCTTTGGTGGTTGGGGCATAAATTTGAATAATAGTAGTGTTAACTGGTCTTCCTTGCAGTCATATGGATATTATCATATCACTGTACTTCAGGACAGATCTGGAAACATACTTTGCAATGATGAATGCCACACCATTCCTCTTCAATTGTCATTTCCAGCATAGTAGATCATATAGTTGTCTAATTCAAAATGGCCCAAATCAGTCCATTTCAGCTCACTAACACCTAGGATATCAATCTTTATGTGTTCCATTTCATTTTTGACAACTTCCAATTTTCCTAGATTCATACATTGTACATTCCATGTTCTGATTATTAATGTATATTTTCATCTGTTTCTCCTCAATTTGAGTCATGCTATGCCAGCAAATGGAAGTCCTGAAAGCTTTATTTTATCAATATCATTAAGGTTGGTTCTACTATGATGAGGCAGCTCTTTCACAATATTGTTTTGAGTGCCTTCCAACCTAAGGGGCTCATCTTCCTGCACTGTATCAGACAATGTTTCCGGGCTATTCATAAAGTTGCCCAGTAATATATCAGAGAGTATTTCTCTGCTATTTATAAGGTTTTTTCTGGCCAGTTCTTTAGGAAGTGAAGAAGAAGAAGCCTCTTCCTTCTTCCTAGTCTGTCCCAGTCTGTAAGCTGTGTTGAAACCTGTGCACCATGAGCAAACCTGCTGGCTTTTGAAACATCGGTGTCATAGCCTCAAGCCTCACAGCAATGCACAAACCACCACAGATGACAAACTGACAGACAAGTTTGTCTCCCTTAGCTGTTGTAAACCTCTCCACCCTCCCTTTACCTAATTCCTACCTGGCTTCTGACACTTTTTGTGTCATTCCTTCCCTTTCCTGCCTCTGGTAGTGGGTCTTATCTGTCTGCCTTGAGTATTGTATCTCCTTTAATTTTCACAACAGCCTTAAGAGGTGAATGTCCTGATAAGGTCTATTTTAAACTTGAGATATTTGAGTCCCAGAAAGTAAAATGGCTTTTTCAAGGTCACATAGTCAGCAAATGAAAGGTCAAAGATTAGATCTCAGGCAGTCTGACTTCTACTTAGTTCTTCTACCATTATGCTTTACCTCCCATCAAGGTTGGGCTGAAATGCCACCTCCTTTAAGAAGCCACTTCTGATAGCCCAGTGTAATGTGTCCCCTCCATTTGTGCTACCCTTATAATATTTACATTTCACCTTGTGTTAAGGAGCTCTAGTGGTGTAGGGCCTAAGGCATTTGACTGCTAACCAGAAGGCTCATGGTTCAAACCCACCAGCCACTCCTCAGAAGGAAGGTTGGGCAATCTACTTCCATAGTGATACTGCCTCAGAAATCCAAGGAATGGTTGCTATGAGTCACATCCAACTCAATGGCAGTGAGTTTGGCTTTTTGGTGTGCTGTATGTTATGTTATAATTGTTTGTACCCTACAGATATTCACATACACATGCACACACCATTATACAATTGAATCTGTTTTACTAATTTTGTATCCCATCTAATGTTAGCCTAAGGTAGTTCAATATAGGCAACCAGTAAATAATCTGCTGAAGTGAATGGGACAGAAACTGTCTGTAAAGATGAGTCTACTTAGCATGGCTCAACATCCTGTTTATTTTCAGATATAACAAGAATGCAAGAAGTAAATGAGTCCCAAGTGTCATAGTGTCCAAAATGACTAAGCATTCTGGACAAGGTGGCACATGATCTGTTTATTTTCAAGGCTATGAAAGAAAAGGTAGGATAGGACAAAGTGTATTGCAGATTATAATGCTATGTCTGCCTTGGTCAGTAAAGTTATTAAGTAAGATTCTATGCTCCATTTACTTTGATCATAACATAATTTTCTATTTCAGAACAACTAACCAAAATCAGATTGAGAAATCTGTCCAAATAGGAGTGGCTTCAAATTTAAATGAAGGAATATACTAAAAGAATACTGTTTGATCTATTAAGACAAACCTGTACATTTCCAGATAATGTGTTCTCCACAAAGTCATCTTGCTTTCTCTCTGTAATATAAAATAAAAAGAAGTCGCATGGAAAAAAAAAAAAAAAACCTACAGAAATAAATAAATAAATAAAGCTATCTGAGAGAGAGTAAAGTAGATATTGGTTTGGGCCCAGGGGCATTGTTGGAAATTTCTCTTTTTCATTATAACTTTCTTCTAGAGCAAATCATGAGGGTAAAACATAGCTACACAGATCTAGTCAGTGCAACCAACTGAGAATTTTGTTTTCTTCTAGGCAGACAACCATTACACTCAGCGCAGGCTTGCCTCAGAGAAAAGTCAAGCAGACACAGCCTGTGGAATTCAAGGAAAATGCTAAAAATAAAGTTGGAATTAGAAGACTAACTTCTTGGCAGAGTAAGATGCTGAGTGTGTTTGAGAATGCTAAATTGCATGTAGTGACAGCACACAAAAGTGGAATTGCTCACCAGGAAGTTAGAGATGCAGGAAAAGAGAAAGGCCCTGGCTGAAGTAGAAAATCTGAGAGTCAGCTACTGTGAGGAACAGCTTAAGCCAGTTGTTGTATCGCTTTACCCGTTAACACTTCAGTGTGCACCTCCAAAGGCTAAAGCATTCTCCTCCATAACTATACAACTATCACTCCTAATAAAGGTAACAAAATCTCCTAATAAGGTATCTCACACAGTTCACATTTATATTTCCATAATTGTCTAAATTATTGTCTTTTTGGCCTGTTTGTTGTTGTTGTTATGTGCCGTCGAGTCGGCCCCGACTCATAGCGACCCCTCCTTGGGTTTCCAAGGCAGTATCACTACAGAAGTAGGATTGCCCA